ATATATATATATATATATCTAATATATCTTCTAATCACACACATATATTCTGTTCTAATATGTTAAATCGATTTTATCGAATTATCGGCAATTAATTTCCCGTAGGGTGAATATTTAAGAAAAGGAAATTGTTTAAACGTGATAATCTGTTTTAGAACAAAATATACCTGATTATCTCATGAAGTTTTTTCTATTTTTTGTTTTTTCGTTTTTTTTTTTTCTTCGAAGGACACATGTACAATCGAGGATGTCTCCTGATGAGAAATACGAAACTTTGTCGAAAAAAGAATTTTGAAGAAAATTCCAATATTTTTGTTTTTTTTTTTTTGTTTTTTTTTAGTAATCTTCCAAAGAAATGGGAGAAATATCTTAAGCAAAATGGTTACATATATATATATATTCGCCAACAAAAAAATAAAAATATATATATATATATATATGTTTTGCACTTTAACAAATTTCGTCCCCCTTTTTTCAAAGTCCAATTCAACCTTTTTTTACACTTTAAAATTCTATACTTTTGCAAGTCAAATTGCCACTCTCCCCTTTTTTGCCTTTACAATTTGACTAACATAAATGGGTGGAATTTAAAGTGCAAATGGTTGGATTTTAAGTGTAAAACAGGGTGAAATTAAAGTGCAAAATCTATATATACATATATCGTATTTTGAAGCGAGGAATAATTACCGATTAAAAAAAAAATAAAAAAAAAATACAGAAAATAAATATTAATATTTAATACATTAAATAATACATTGAAGYCAGGAAATGCAATTTAAAAAAAAAAAAGAAAAAAAACAGAGAAAATGTAGTTCCAATAAAGATAAAAGGATAACGATAAGGGGTGGAGGGAGAGAGAGGGGGAGGTAAAAAGACATCCAAGAAAGTTTACACGACAAATCGTACGGTGCTCTAATTAAATGTACAAAATGGCGACAATTTATAAACGAGGCATGTAACGCACAACTGATTAGAAATATACGATATGTATAATAAACAATCATTTGAACATCAGAAACTAGAACACACATTTCTATATATATACATATATATATATATAGAATATGTACAGTACGTAATGAAACGTATACGTATGAAAATTCGTATGTGTATATATATATATATGTGTGTGTGTGTATGTACGTATTTGTGTACGTATTATACAGTAAAATGAATTACGTAACGATTATATACAAATCCAAGTAAAAGAGAAATATGATTTTATAAATATCTTTTTATCCTATAATTCTTGAAAAAAAAACCAAAAAAAAAACAAAAAAAAGTAAGAGAAAATTCAATACAATACTACTCGATGCAACAATGCCAATAACGATTATTATTATTATGATTATTTATTAAAAAAAAAAAAAAAAATGAGAAAATGCAAAGTCCTTGATAGCTTTTTTCCCCCCTTTTATCCAATTCTATCTACTTTACAAAGGATTATTAGAATTTTAAAAAAAGATACAGAAAATAATAAAAAAGAAAAATAATATGAGACAATTTTGAAACCGCAAGAGATTAATAAGTCGTTTATACTATGTAAGTGTGTATTATTTATGTAATATGTACACTTATAATATTATACCGTTGAACAATTAAATCGTGCACGCGAATGTGGAATAAAAGGTGTGAGAAATTTAAAATAAAAAAAAAAAATAAAGAAAGAAGGAAAAAAAAACAACAAATCACTTTTACAGACCGAACGACACGCAAAGGGATTATGTGTTCCCAACTAATTTTATGTATAAATCTTTTTATTACTAGCATTATTGTGTCAACGATATTTTTTTAACATTTATCATTTCTTTTTTTTAATATTTCCTTTCGTCAATAATTTCAATTCATTTTCTTTCATAAAGCTTGACATCTATGTGTACAGGTTAAAACTACTTACTGTAAATGTGTAAAAAGTTATTTGTATATCAATCAATTTTAAATCAAACAATTTTAAATATTGTTTATCAATTGTAATTTTTTATAAACAATGAATGTAAAGAAATCATTCAAAATCTTGAAAATATGCGCAACACAATAAAAAATAATAATTTATCTGTAAAAAATGATATTTTCTACGAATTATTGTAATAAATTATTATTTTATATTATTTATATTAATTTATTCTATTTTTTCCTTTTGTTTTATATTAATAATGCTTTTATATAAATCCAAATTATGGAGAGAAAAAAAGGAGACAACTTACAAAAATTCTGTGATACGTCATTGAATACAGTAATAACTGTCGAGTTTTCATAACAGTGGGTTGTAACAACTTTTCATTATACAAGCTTCGAATACGCGGACAAAGTCAAACGACGTGAGTTTTACGTTGAAAAATATGAAAAACATTATTAATAAAAAGTAATAAAAAAAAATTACTTTAATAACATTGTGCTCAGTGACAAAGCAACTTTTCATAAAAGTAGAAAAATATACCGTCATAATGTTTTCACGTGGAATGACCATAAAATTCACATCAAACGTATACGTAGTACTTTGCCTAAGGTAAATCTTTTTTTTTTTTTTCTCTATGCTTTAAAGCAAACATACAAATTTACGAAATTTTGTATTTTTTCCCCGAACCAACTGTATAACTGGAATTTCAGTTATACATGAACATACTTGAGAATTATCTAATGCCACAATTATAAGAGAATACGACCAGAGAATCAATTTTCCAATAAGATGGCGTATCCACTAAATTCCCGTCAGAGAATTTGGGGTATCTGCCGTGTTATAAAAGGTGCCCATGTTGAACTTTGTAAGAATAAAACTTCAAATTATATACTGTATTCAACGATATATCACGAAATTCTATAAGTCGTTTACTTTTTTTTTTCTAATTAAATTTTACTATTGTTAAACTAATTTATAAAAAGTTTGAATTATTTGTGAAATTAATAAGAAGTGATTTGAAGTATACAGGAAAAAAAGTATTCGCACATCTAATAAGTTTACAAAAATTCATTTGATAAATAATATTTAACATAGTAAATATTTAATTTATGACTAGAAAATTAAATCATACAGTCAATTCGATGTTGAATTAATTAAATTTGAGGTTATGTATCGTGAAATGTTATTTTGCTCAACCATAAGAACACTTTTAAGTCTTCTTTTAAAGAACTTCGATTTTTTTTTTTATTTGACGTTTCAAGTAATTCCTGAAGTATTTCATCGGGTTGATATTTGAAGATTATAGTGAAGTTTTTAGCTGTATTTATGTATTATACAGTATATACATTCTGATATTGCACGTAGTATGTTTTGAATGGTTATCGTTCATAAAAACGAAACGATCTTCAATATCCATTTTTTCTGAACTAAAAAGAAAATTATGTTCTCAAATATCAATTCTGTGATTCATTATTCCTGTGATTGCTGTATGACAACCCTTACTGCACTCAAACAGTATCAAACACTTTCAAAACCCCTACTGTATTTTACCATAAAGCTGCAAGTTTTCTAAGTTTAGTTCTTCACTTGTTTTTTTCTCCAATAGTATATCAAATTACAGATAATTATGGACAGAAGATTAATGTACTATTATACAGGATTATTCAAAAAGTATATTACAAAATTAAAACTGATTTATTATATATATATATTGAACTGTCATAAACAAACTGCAATAATACACACTGATAAATAACCTCAATAAATTTGTTATCCATAAAGTTACACATTTTTCAATAGAAATAAATAAACCATCAACAAATGTTTAAACAATAATTCATTGATTTATTCTCAAATCCATCCTTCAAAAAATCTTCAGTTATCCGTTCCACGACACTAGAGATATGATACTTCAAATCGTGTAGGTATTATAATCATGAAAAAATATACAAAACATCCTAAACGTATCTCAACACAATAAAAAAAAAAATCACATGATGATTTAAAACAGATAATCGTGAAATGCCGAACAGCATCAGCGAAACATAATTCCCGACAATCCTAACTCAGCACTCTGCTAGAAGATTGGAATTCACTATTAGAATGTTCACGAATAGTACTATGAAAATAGAGAAATAACATCATCCTGTTAAAAGATAAAATTAAGATCATTTTATTTCTAGTTAAAACATATGTATGCCATTATATTAATACGTTCAGGTAAATAAAATTAATGACAATAGGGTTAACAAAAACCAATTAATGTAAACACGAACAGAGACATTCAACTAATTCATCACAAAATTATTCCAAGTTGTCTATTAATGCACATATAATTATGATTTGATATATGATAATTCGATAAATAATAAATCAATTTTAATTTTTGCATTATACTCTATTTGAATAAACCTGTATAATACATTAAATCGTATTAAAACTTAATAGTATAGATTTATTTCATTTGTATTCCAATAAAATATTAATTCGATGAATTTAACGGTTCCTCTCCCATGCGCGTGCACGATTCATAAACACCTACAAATACATGTATATATATATAAGTATATATATATATATACTTATTTATAAATACGACTGTGCACACCTTTTTTTATACAAACGATGATGATTACTATTATACGTGTAAGTATGTAAATATACTCACCGCAATTTAGATAGACGACAAAATTTATTTACAGATATACGAATATTTAGAATAATAATAGCAATAATAATAATAAGACGAAGATAAGAAGAAGAAGAAGAAGAAGAAGAAGAAGAAGAAGAAGTGAGAACATGGGGAGAGGGGGGGGTAGAGTAGAGTAGATTGAAAAGTGGAAGGGGGACAATTAAATGAAGATGACAAAGAGAATATAATACGTAGAAGAATACGATTATTATAATAGACGAAGACAAAGCAACACCACATACATGGTAGATCAAGACGATCATAATTAGTGCGATCTGTGATCGTAGATATATATATATATATGTGTATGCGTGTGTGTATGTATATATATATCTTTTTTCGTGTGCCTGTCGTGATGGTGCGTGTGTATTATAAAAGTTTCGTGTGATGTTTCGTTTGATTGAATGATACCTTGGCATTTCATGCCCTGGTGGATGACACCATAGAGAAGACTACCGCAGTGGTCACAGAACGTGGGGCTGTTGTAGGTGTGTTGCTTGAATTGATGCTTCGTCCGCGTGTCCTGCGTTATTACACCATTACATCGTGCACACGCACGCAGACTCTCGGATTATGAACACGAATTTAGTATATTCGAATCACGAAATACGAATGTCTCATTTCATGAACTCATGAATCTCTCCATTGATAAATTATTTAATTAATCTTTCGTACAATTTGTATTGAATTTAATTTATTAGTATCTTACGTATAAACAAATGTTTTCAATGATATCGATAATTTTGGATAATGTAAATTCAATAATTTTATGACAATTCAAATTTATATCATTGATTTATTCTGTATACACAGGTGCGTATTATACATTGAAATATGTTCCATTTGAAAAACTAACCTGTCAATTGTTTTTTTGAAACATATGATAGAAGGTATCTCAAAATCTACTTTACCAACTGATATAATTTATACATTTTTTTATTTTTTGTATTTACAGACATTTCGAGTTGCTCATACTTTTGTTTTATTTAAATGGAAAAAAAAATAAGTAAAATATCTGTTAATGGCCACGCATATTTTACTAATTTTGCGACCATTTTCAAATTAAATACAAAATAATACAGTAACATTGATTACAAGTGATTAACACAGCAATCACTTATAATAGTGATTTATAGTTCTTCTCATTACTGTATATAAAAAATTTAAATATTAATTTGTAAAAAATATATGCTGATTTTTACTGTCGTACATAAACCTAGCTTTTAAAGTTTCCTAATAATCGAATAGAATTATTTTTTCTTTTTTGAGACTTTCTTCTTATTCAACTTATTGGTTAATTGAAAAATATTTGTTGGTTGAATTAATTCTAATTGTTTGTATTTATTCGAACAAAAAAGAAATCAATATTTATTTCAACAAAAATAAAAATAAAAAAAAAGGAAACCGTATATTATATTTTATTCAAAGTATTGTCCATTTGCCCTACTTTTCAGTTAACACATGGATTCCGCGATATAAAAATTCAGATTTTTTTTAACGCAATCCAGTTTTCGAGCCATTTTTTGATACATTCAAAAATATCTGAATTGCCGTTCAAAAAAACCATGCTGCAACCCAATGCTAATCCAAATGCATGCAAATGGTAATCCGAAAAAAAAAACGTCTGGGTAAATAGAATTTGTGGGATGGTAAGACATCCCATTCAAATTTCTCTACAAAATTTCTTTTATTAATTTTGCAATATATGATCTAACATTTTCATAAAGAAAAACAAAAAAAAAATATTATCCAATCATGAATTTTTTTGTTTATAAGTATATTCAGAAATAATCAATCAATTATTTTTATTTAATTCATTTAAATTTAATTTCAATGCAAATTCTTTTCAATACAATATTTTTCCTATAAATTGTGTTCCCTTGAAAATTTGTATTCTTTTTGTTCTGATTTAATGTCAAAGACTATATATTACAGTTTATTAACCTTTTGCACTCGAGAGGTGATTCTCGGTCATCATTCGATTTGACCCGATATGTGATTACCGTCCTACGAAATATGTTTAACCTTTTCGTCACGAACACCTAATATAACAACCACCATTCACACAACGATCTCTGTATATACGAACACCTACTATACAGTAACTGAGTATACATAAATAAAAAATATACTTATTTTTATCTTTCCCACATAACAAGTACAAGAAAACAGTTGTTTCGTAACACAAAAAATGTACACACAAAAAGAATACCAAGTTAGGGTTGAAAAAACGTTATGACGTGATCATCATTGTATGAAATACATTGAACCTTTTTATTAGAAGCACCCACTATAGTGGACATTCCAATCCTGTAAAATTTAATCTTCATATAACATATCATTCAATAAGTTTCAACGCTGTTAACAGACCCACATGATTTCTGGATAGTACCAACTTTCAAACGATACACGTGTCAAAATTTCATGACATTCTGACAATTGGTTTACAGATTCCAGTCGTTTTAGTTAACCCAATTTTATAATTTGCAAAACAATGAATAAAAAATATTTCGTGTTTTGATTAAGCATTGTTTTTTGATGGATAAAAATACTTTTAAAGCCAAAATACAAACTGCATATTTTTCAAAACTGTACCTCCCCACGTTCAGTGGTATTAATCCTTCAGAACTGACTGTCGTAACGAAAAGGTTAATTAATTCATATATTTAAACAATATTCTTCTTATAGACATGTAAAAATAGATAAAATATTCCAATATTACAATATTATACATTAATTTGTATGTATAATCGTTTTCAAATTAAAGGTTAATGGTTCACCGACATCTCACGAAAAGTGAAAAATATAAAATAAGATTATAAGATATATAATTTTAATAATAAATAAGATATATTTATTTTATTTTMTTTTTAAATATTATTTTGCTAAACGTTTCCTGAATTATTTTATCTTAACTTGCATTTTATACAGAAAGTACTTTTTTTTTTATTGATATTGTAAAAGTTTCGAGTTGTTGGTACACACGATCGAAAACGATCTCAAGTGCAAAAGATTAACAGTACTTTCATACACACACACACACACACACAAACACACACACAACTAACGGTCACTTTCAACCATATTCAAATAGCACAACTACTGGCTGACCTCTATTAATATAAAGGGAGAATTAATTCAACCACCTGATATATAAGAAAGACTCGTTGTACTTCGACAATCGAGTCGTTAACCATATCTAATTGCTTTTATAAACAGTTACTCGTTTATAAAACAACAAATAAAGAAATAAAGTAAACTACGATAAACTCTTATAAATTGTGAAATTAAAGTCAATATTTTTTTTTACCTGTAATTTCTCATATCCATAGAGTAATAAGTACAAACAGGCGATCCTGAATTTATGCGAGAGTTTTTTTTTCATACGAATAAATTAAAACACGCGGTATATTTTTTATAAACGATATCAATTTTTACACGATTTGAATATACTCAATCAAAAAATATATATATTTTTATATTTATAATTCTGTTTTTTAATTATTTATTTAATGAAAATTATATTTTATATATCTTATCTTAATATATACAAATTAAGTGTCACGTTGTTTGTGCACATTGGACTCCTAAACTCTGAACCGATTTTAATCAAATTTTACACACTGTGTGCAGTTTCATCCAACTTGAAAGATAGGATAGTTTATATCTCAATTTAAATTCGCAATATTATTTGTTTATTAACAAAGAGTCATGATTATCTCTGTTAGTGCGATAAGATTCTAACAGATGAAGGTATAAAATAATTCGTTGACTTAAATTCAATTCAGTCAATCTATAAAATATGCTTCAGTAAACTGTGTTTAGAATATTGGAAAGAAGTGGAGAGGGTGGGATTTTTTAATTTCCATGATTTGTTTCCCTCATCCCTCATCCATACTCTAAACACACCCCCACTTAAACGCACATTTTATAAATTGACACTGTATACACATTTTTTTTTTTTTCATTTTTCATGATTTGTTTCACTTACAATAGCTTCAGATTTCTTTACACCTACTCCTCCCCCCCCCCTTTGCAGTAAATATATCACATTAAAGTACACTTTATAGATTGATCGAAACTTTCCGGTCATTCTGTAAAATCTTTGAACACATTGTTCCTCAATTGTTGCAAATTTATGAAAACTTGATAAATAAAAAAATTAATAATAAATCATAACAACGATAATTTACACGATAAAATACAATGAATTGTTGCCGATTGAAAAGAAAAAATTGATAATTTCAAAATTACAATAACGATGATTGCAGTGATTCTACTAAGATACTAAGATACTTAGTAACTAAGATACTAAGATACTTTTGTTTTCTGAAATATTATTTTAGAATATATATTTTATTGTTATAAATTATACGATATAAATATGTATTTCTATAACTTATATTACCTTTTACAATATTTATTTACACGATTTTCATTTGCATGCATAAAAAAAAAAAGGAAAGAAAAAAACCCCACGCTGAACGAAAATTCGCATAAATTTAGGATACGCCTGTATAATGAATTATTCTTTATCATCTATTAATTATAATAAATGCGAATGATGGAGAGATCCATGATCATTTGAATGTAGAAGAAGGGATCGATATAAGGAAAACCGATTGTTTTTGAAGCGCTAAAGCACGGATAAATTCTTACCGATAACAAAACAAACAACAACAACAAAAATGTACAGAACGTAAGAGTATAGATCAGTTAATAATATTTCGTTCAAAATAATCGACAAATTTGTGGTTACCATAGATTGTTTGCGGTTCGATTAATTAAATTAAAAAATTATAAATTACATCGTAGTAACGAAGAAAAGAAATTATTATCGAATATAATCAAATAACAAATGAAATTTCTTATAGACAAAAAAAAAGTCGAACATGTTTTTATTTTTTTTTTTTTTAAATGAGCCGTAAACACCTTGGTTTTCCACGAAGAAATAAAACAAAAAACAAAGAAAAAAAAAACATAAATTGATAATTTATATATTTTCGTATTTGTTACTTATTTGCTAAATTATTCAGCAGTAGCGCATTTGTGGTTGTTTTGTAAGCGTGGGATTTAAACGAACAGCTGAAAACGCTTAGGCCAATCGTGCGCGGTGCAAAAAAATGCTGAAGGCTTTTTAGCCTGCTGTTTGCCTTCTCTCTCACACACACACTCACACGCACACGCACACAAACACATATTTACATTTTTTTTCTCTTTATCCCTATTTTTCTCTTATACATACACACAACACACACACACACACACACACTCTTTCTCTCATTCTAACATTCTTTCTCTTTCTCTCTCTCTCCCCCTCCATCACTCTCCTTTATTAGCCAATGATCTCGTTATTAATTATTATATCTCCGTACGCTACCAATGTTAATGTTTTTTTTTTTTTTGCTAAATTGTGTTATTAATTTATCAACAAATTGTACAAATTCAAGTATCATTAGAAAAAAAGAAATGTTTATTAACTTTAGAAAGTAGAGTAATTTATTATCTTGTATCTGTGTGTAATTTTTTTCTCAATTAAATTGAAATGTTGGTTAATTGATGTACAGGTTACACCAAAAGTCGCTTTAACGAATAATGAAAGAGAAAACAATGACGTATCGTACTGACGTGTCATTCTTCATCTACAATTATGTCTACAATATTTTTTTATTTTAAATATTTGTACACATTGATATATTCATCATATTTTATAATTTAAGAAAATCTTAATAACACTATAACTGAAGATTAGTAATAATTATTATTGTTACATGAAAAACACAATATTAAAATTCTATTAACACTTTAATGTTAAAGTTACATCAAGCTTATATCAGGGATTTGTTAGGGTCGAGAAAAGGAAAGACCGAAAAGAAGAAAACAAAGATTAAAATACGATCATCAAGGATACTTTACAGAAATGCCTAAACAGGCCTCTAAATTTCAATTGTCCTTTTCGACAATAGGATTCAAATAACCATCATCTTATAGAACATCGCAAAGAAGAAGGAACTCTTAAATAGGCACTTTCAGCTTACTTGGGGAGAGAGAACAATGAGTTCTCTGATAGGGAACTGAAAAACCCTCCAATGAAACTGAAGGTTAGTGAATCAGGCAATTTTTTACACGGTATGGGGACTACAATTTGATCCGCTGATGTATCTGGTTTTGGATTATCAGATTTGTCTCTGTGATGCTAAAAAATTTGATACATCTGAGTTGTGTCCAGGTTAGGTCAGAATTTTGTCAACGTTTCATTAGGATCGGGAAAAGAAAAGGACATGTTATGGAATGCTCAAACAAGCCCTTAAATTTCAATTGGGGTGTCGTCTTCAACATGACGATTACATTACCGTCAGCTTATAGGACAATAACCAGGAAGAAATAATGCTGAAAACTGTACTTTCAGCTTACCTAGGGATAAAGAACAATGAGTCTTCTGGTAGGGAACTGAGAAACCCTCCAATGAAAAAGAATGTTAATAAAAGAGGCAATTTTGTAGACGTTATGCGAACTACAATTTGACCTGCTGATGGATCTGGTTTTGGATTATCGAATTTGTCTCCCCTGATGCTAAAAAAAAAAAACAATTACGTCTGACTGAATTATGTCCAGGCTAGGTCAGAATTTTGTCAACGTATCATTAAAGTTACAAAAAGAAAAAGACCGAAAAGAAGAGAACTAAGATTATAACATCAAAGACACTTTACGCAAATGCCGAAACAGGTCTCGAAATTTCAATTAAGGCGTCGTCTTCAACATGACAATTAAATTACTGTCAGCTTATAGAACATTAACAAGGAAAAAGGAACGCTGAAAGTTGCACTTTCAGTTTACTTAGGAAAAAAGAGAAAATCGAAAAACCTTTTCAATGAAACTGAAGTTTATCAAATCAGGCAGTTTTTGATGGATCAAGTTTTTGGATAATGAGATTTGTCTTTTTATCGCAAATAATGGGTTACATCAGAATTGAGCAAAATTTTATCTGTTAAATAAAAACCCCCAAAAAAATACGGTGTTACTTGACGATATATTATAAAAAAAACCTATGCTTATCTTCCATTTTGTTTTTGTTCTTGTTCTCGTTTAAAGCGACTTTTAGTGTCAACCTACATACATACAGTACGTTTATTATTACAATTGACGTTTATTATTAACAAATTCAATGGCACGTGGGCAGAATTAGACTCATATTGAACTTTTCATTCGAGTAGTTTGATATTTTCATTATAAAATATGATAATTTTAACAAATATTTGTGTTTTTTTTTTCTTTTTCAGTTCATCAATATCTACACACGTTAATAACGCGTATTACATCCTCCCGTGCAACTTTCGAACGGGAAAGTAATCAAAAATCTGTTCGACATAAAACATATTAATTCAAATTGATAAAAGTCATGGAAAGAAAAAAAAAAAAAAAAATTGTGGATATATAGTGCAGAAAATTTTCTTTTCTTTTTATTTATATTCTTTTTTTTTTTTTTTCTTTTNTTTTTCTTTTTTTTTTCGTTGATTGCGTTCGAGTCTTGCATTATTTCTAATCGATTAAGCTCTGTAACCTTGGCTTCGGATGAGCGAAGGAGAGAGACAAGGCGAATTATTTGAATAAAAAAAGGAAAAGGAAAATATATAAATATATACATGTATATATATATATGTTACCGTTATTTTATGAAATCTGTTAATTCATGAAATAACCACCCATTGAATGAAATAACTATATTGAGGCAAATAGTTAAAGTATCAAATGTGCCCATAATTATGAAAGTGGTCTAAGTCATGTATCTCTTGTTTCGGGCCCGAAGTAATGTGCACAACAGTCCCAGACTGGTTCGGGGATAAAACGTTTAATCATTTCTTGTAATGATTAAAATTATTTTTCTAAATTAATCGAATTGAAAGTTTTAACGGTAACATATATATATATGTGTAAAAAAAAAAAGAAAAAGAAAAAAGAAAAGTTAGAAGTTAGATACGTATTGACACTCACGTCCGAGTCAGCTCCTTTGTCCGCTCCAGGACAGGTAAAGGTCACGTATTCGTGACATCGTTTGTGAACGACGAAACTACAGACTGAAACACAAGCAAAATGTGCCCAGAGGTCTTCCTCAAGATCACACCTGCCGAAGAGGTGGTCGGTGAGATCAGACTGACCCTCTTACCTTGGCACTGATATCCTTGTTTTCCGAAGCCCCTAAAACACAAATAAAGAAAAAAAAAACAATCAACTAATTAAATAATTATTTTACGAACAATACAGGAAATTTTGAAATATTACAAAAAAAAAAAAAATCAAAATCCTCTTATATATATATATCACCTGTAAAAATAACTTTGACAGTGTAATGGATTTTTTGCTTTATTCGATAATATTATAAATAATTGTAAGTTAAATATAGAAAGAAAAAAATAATTATAAAATCAATTTTTGTCAACAACTTTAAACTTGTAATTTATTTTGTCGTAATTATCAGTGTATATATAAAAAAAAAATTAAATATTTTTTTGTCAATTTCTTTTTTCCTTTTTTTTTTTGAGATAAATATTTGGATTATATTGGGTATCATCGTGAGTGAGTGGAACACTTTTATATCGAAAATTCATATTTTCCTAGTATAAAAACAAAATATTGTAATTCTATTAATAAACCAATATCGATATTTTGTTTTCTCGGTAAATCAACTTTTGGGACATCTTATAAATAGACGTGTATATAAAAAATAAAAAAAAAATATATATAAATATGAAAATCTAAATAAAATTACAAATTTATTCCAAAAAAAAAAATATATATATATATATGATAAACGATATCTGCCTATTCAAATGAGAATTACATTTAAAATTAGATTTGCTTTTTTTAAAAAACGCCAACTGTAATAGATAAAACGTTAATCCACCACCACCAATACCACCACCTGCCCTTCTTGAATTCTCAATTTTTTTTTTCCGATATAGCTAAAAGTACGTTTACAACGTCAGCCTTTGTTTATAGGCTGTATAACAAGTGACGCTTCTGTGCTAGACCGTCGATTAAATCAGCTTCAACGAACAAATCAATATTTCAAGGTTTCTATATGACCGTTATGCATGATCGTTCGGTATACATATATTTTGTCAAATGCATACATATTAACAAACAAAAAATTACAAAAAAAAAAACGATTTTATTCTTCTGTATAATAAAATAAATCCATTTAATACCTTATTTACGTTATTGATTGCTTTAAAAATGTTTCTATGTTTAAGATCAAATTAAATCAAGTTAAGTAATTAAATTATTAATTAAATTAGTCAAATGAAAATAAAGTAAAAATGAGAATCACGGATGAGACTCGTGATAAATAAAAAAAAAAATGAGCAAAATGAAAATAATAAGTTAGACTCAATATACATCGATCGAGACAAATATAAACAACTCGTGCAAGTCTCGTAATTTGTTTTTAGGGTTAAACATGTCTAAGACGTGTCCAATTGTCATAATTTCGAACGTTTAGTCTAACTGTAAATTGAATTGGCGTACGACGTGAACATACTGTAAATTATGGCACAAACATACCATCAAATTGTAACGCAAGAAGTTTAATTAATCGTATGAAAATTGCGCGATTTCTTCATCAAGTTATCAAAGTCATCGAAAATAATGAAGATTATTTCGAATAATAACAAATTGTATACGATTATTTTATAAATAAATAAATAATTTTATTAAAAAAAAAAAAAGAAAAAACATCGAATTTATATTGTTATAACCTAATATAATAACTAAATCCATTTGTTGAGTCAACAGGTTATAAATTAAATAAATATTTATCTAATAATTAGAACAATAAATAATATGTTCGATTTATTTATAAAAGATCTTCTTTCTGATGTTTCTAAATAAAAAATATTATAACGTATAAAACGCATACATAGTTGAACAATTGAAATTCTAATGTGTAATTTGAACAAAAAATTTATTGCATTTGGTTATCTTCTTAATATATGTAAATTAAGTGTCACGTTGTTTGTGCGCAATTGACTCTTAAACTACTGAACCGATTTTAATAAAATTTTACACACTGTGTGCAGTTTCATACAACTTGAAAAATAAGATAGTTTATATCTCAATTTATTGCGAATTATTTGTTTATTAAAAAAGAATCACGATTATCTCTGTTAGTTATTTTTTTTTTTTCTACACATTTATCCGATTTAGTACAATCGGATTTTCATTTATTTCGTTCGTTATAAAATTTGCTTAATGGAAAAAAAAAAAAAGTAGAGATCTGCGGATTGCTTGTTTCGCAATTTTTTTGGTAAAAAGATTTAATTTGAAATAAATGAAAAACTATCTACGAAATAGCAAATATATATGTCATAGTTCGAATAAATTTTCTACGTTAAAACAAAAAAATTGCAAAATGATTTATAGTCAATTCGATACATTTAATATCGAATAATAAAAATAATAATAATAATAATAATGAAGAGGAAGAAAAGATATTTAAGATAAATCAAAAATGTGATGGGGGGTAGAAAAGAAACGAAAAAAAAAAAAAATAAAAAGAAAGGAAGAATAAAAAAAGGTCGAAGAAAAGAGGAGGAAAAAGAGACAGGCTCAGAAAGATAATAACAGGCGAGTGAAAAGGAAACATAAAGGGGAAAGAAGGGACAAGAGGGAAAGGAGGGTGAGAAAGAGAGAATAGAATGAAAATGAAAATGAAAAAGAAAAAAAAAAAACGGTGCAAATCTGTGATTAGCCTACATTACTTCGAGAAGCTTCAAGCAAAATATACATATGCGTGTGTATATAGATATACTGTATTTTTTTGCAATGGCACGTGTGACAAATTATGACTCTGTATTAGATCTTTACAGCAGATGCGAAAAAGGATCGTGTATGGTAATACATACACACATACAAGGTGTTTCAAGTTCTTCTGCTTTTTTTTAACCAAACTTTTCTAATCCAAAATTTATTCTACAAGTTGAAATTATGAAAAGAAAAGAATAATGTGTCATATACTATGATTTGCTTAAAAACACTTGATTACAAAATTATGAAGAAAATTATTTGCAAGTCAACAGTAATGAATAAAAAAAAATTAAAAAATTTCAATTACAAAAAAAAATTGTATATGAAATTCGAGTATTATTCATTGAAAAACACTCTTTGCCATTTGGATGACTCAAATTTCTTGATCAGATTGACATTACAGTAAAAATCATACTGATATGAGTCGTTTTTCAAATACATGACTTTTAAAATATTTAAAAATTCATAGATGAAAATAATATTTTAAAATGAAAAGATGAAAATGTGTGTGTGTGTGTGTTCGACCTTTTATATTCTTCAAGGAAAAATCCATTCATTGAAAATCCATTAATCAAACAGACAACGTTGAATCAATATCAAGAACGTTGCGTTTGGAATGATATTTTATTATTTTTAATAACTATATAGTTAAATATTTCTACTGAAACTTTAAATGACATTTTTTTCTTAATTCAACTTGCATAGAATTGGTTAATAAATAATATAATAATATTTTGTTAATATAAATTATATATATATATATAAGTCATTTTGATGTATAAGTTTTGTGTCAGTTCATAGGTAGCTTCATAATTCCACCAGTTAAAAATTTGTTAATCTTTTTCTGTAAAAAATTCCAAAATATACATTTTACAGGCTTCTTTTTTTTTTAAACCCTTTGTCCTATTTGCTAATTACCAATTTCTCGGGTCACAATAAACAAGAAACTACTATCATCAATATTAGATTATTATTTTTACTGACATAATAGGTATAAAGATTGTTTAATCCTTTTAAGGGATTATAACCTAAAAGTGTGAACGTAACAAAGAATTACACGTAACTAAATTAAGAAAATATCGAAAACAACTGAACCACGAGTCTGACTTTTTTTTTAATCCGAAAGAAATAATCACGAGTAAGGCACGTGATTATTGTTTTTGAGCCCAAATTTCTTACCATGAGTCTTACTCGTTGCTATAGGACGTGAAATAAAACAAATATACCTTCTCGTTATTCATTTTCTAATTTAAATCAAAATTTGACAAAAGACAATGAATTCATTTTTCAATTGCACGTTAAACTATGCATTTTTGTTTAAAAAAAAAAAAACGGCAAAGTTCATTGGCAAATTCAATCAAATAAATTTCTAAAATTTGGCAGAAAGGACGTGAGACACCCTATATATGTACGTTATTATATGACAAACATTACGAATTAATAATATATATATATATTTAATGTTTATTTGCAATTATAAAATGTAGCAACGACGAGTAGGCAAACATTAATTAAGCTCGTGTTTTATACGAAGATAAATTCTGAGCGATAATACTTGGCAAATAAGGAAAACATTTTACGAATGTTAAATCGGGTTTAATTAATTTGGTCACAGTCATGATCGATCACGAATTATGTTAGCGTTAATTATTTTTAATATTGCTTGCACCTTTTGTTCTCTATTTTTTGTTTCTTCTTTTTTACTTGTACACATTGTACTGTATTATTTTTAACGAAAAAACACAAACGATAAGTTTTAACGATTTATATGGTTTTCTTTTTTTTCAAAATATATGCATGCAATTGTTTCTTCATTAATATATCGTTTAAATATTATTTGAAAATTTTATCTTTTCAATTATTACATTTCGTTAAAATTAATTTAAAACAACCGCAGCAAAATTTCGCTAATGGGCCAATCTACACCTTAAATTGTTGCGACAAATCATAGAATAAAAAACTTTATTTTAAAATCAAAATACTTTCAAAATTCCAAACATTTTATTTATAAAAAGTAGTCAATCGGATTTTGGTGGAAACCCTGACAAAACCCTGACGAAACCCTGACGGTTGCTGTGTGCAAACAACAAGCTTGTTGTATGCGAACAACAAGATTGCTCTTCATTGGCGCATTAGCGGAAATTTTGCTGCGGTGACGTTAATACGTAAGTAAGAAATTAATTAAACTATTTTATAAATGTAAAAAAAAAAAAGATACTTTTCAAAATTCCATTAAAATTTTCGAATCGTTCATCGTCGTCAGTAGTTTCAAACTTTTTACTGTATACGTTAACATTAAATATTTATTATTTTATCTATGAATTTCATTAAAACTATCTCATACATTTCTTTTTACTTAACAATAAAAAAAATTGTAGAAATTTTGATACGGTTGTAACACAGAGATGGAAATAATCTAACAATTCGTTAAAAAGGTTCAAACATAATTGCTAAATGTCATTTTTATCAAAAGTTATAACAGTGTCAAATGATTTCGCAATAGTCATTGCATAAGCCAATTCCACGTGACGGACGCACCTAAAAATGATCATAATTACGTCGTATTTAACAGAAAATGAAATTTGTCGTTAGTGTGCAAAGCTTATGAATTGAATTACGTAAAGGTGACATATATATATATATATTTATATAAAATCATGAATTTATCAGGGAACATACAATAACGTTTAATATATTTAATATATTTTACACGTTTATCTGTACAATAGAAAAAAACAAAAATATAATTCCTAATATCATATAAATAATAAAATAACTATAAATCTATTAATAATAAATAAATGAAAAATCAAACACGTAAAGATTTGAAGAATACTTTGCTGTAAAACAAACAATCGTCACGTTTCTCTTTGTCATACATTGCAACAGGTTAATCGATGTACGAAAAGAAAATAAATAATATAAATAGAAAATGATCACAAATAAGATTATGAGCAAGAAAAAAGAAGAAAAAAATAAATATATATATATATATATATATATATATATATATACTATATATTATAACTAACACAAATAGTTTGTTAAAAGCATTTTAATGAAATTATTTTCTCTAATGATCTTACTTGAAGTATTTATCTTGAAAATGAAAATAAGAAGTATTGTCTAATGTCTCTAACAAGTATAAACTCGACACATTCATCTATATATTTGTTCTCACATAGCCAGGAAAAGTCTTTGTTTCGACCTAATTGGGTTAGCCTGGTTTTCATCGATTTCGAAGTCCCCGTTGCCTTTCTATATAAAAACTCGGCAAAGAGGGTCGGGTAAACTCGACTTGCATAATGCAATGTGCACGTGTTCACATGTATTCACAACCTTTTACCCAGGACACGTGTATTCGTTTGGTTGTGTACGTTAATCGCCCGTACGACGTAAGAGACACACCAGTATAATAATGTGATTTTTCAAATTGAAAGTACTGTTTTTGCTGTCATAAGGTATCTTACACGACCTTTTTTCAATTCGTCCGAATGATAGTCAATCAATCGTTTTACAATAAAATCAAACAAGGTAGGCTAAGTTTGGATATTACTGCAGTTGAAAATCTATGAATATCTTTCTAAATTATATTTTTCAATATAAATGATATCGACCTTTTTATTTTTTTTATTTTTGACAAATGTATTTTAATACGAAATATAAATATTGAGTTTTTTTTTAATAATAAAGGTTATAATTAAATAATACCCCATATGCTGCGTGTATTATTGCGGATTTGCAATTACTCCTATACATGGTAAATATTTAAAAAATAAAAAAAATGAAAAGTACAGATTGATAGTCAAAAATACAAAGTTTAAATATTTAATAATTAATCAAATTTTATTTAAACAAAAAGTAATTATATTTCATTAGGTTATTCAATTTTAAATTTCCAACGCATTTACAGGTTAACAATCATTGTTTTATTGCCGAAAAATATTCGTACTTGTTTCTATTGTAAATTCGAAATAATTTTCTTTGTAATGCAACACTTCAAAATTCTTCTATACAGAAATTTATTTGAAAATAATTAAACTTTCAAATTGATATTAATTCGATTGCAGAAAAACATTGTTTATTGTAAAAGAAATCAAATCTTACTTAAACGATACAAAATTGATCTAACAGGAATATTTGTTAAGCATTCTTTACATATTTTAATTCTTTTGAAACGATTGTGCATATATATAACCTATTATCTTATAGGTTATGTCTCAAATCTTACGTCATTTATAATAAAATACTCGTTTATTTGATTATACTAACTTTCCTACTATGACTCGAGGAAAATAAAGAATTTAATTATAATAATTCAATATAAATAAATGTATATTTATATATGAATAATGCATAAAGATATTTAAATAATTTATGTATTGGTAAAAAACAAACCAAACAAATTTTCAACAATTTCGAAAGATTTAACAAAATTAATAACATTCGTAAATGAAATATTTTCCAATATAGTTAGATCGATGAAATATATTTTTATAAATCGACATTAATTGTTCGATCATTCCGATACATTTTTTTCTGATTGAATATTTGAAATACTGGCATCTCGAATGTTTTTTTACTCTTTTACACAACTTTTACTGTAATTGAAATAATAAAACTAATTATTAAATAAAAAAAAACTAATTATTAAATAAAACTGAATAAAACTGATTATTTGTTTTTCTTTTTTTTTTCGTCAAGTGATTTTTGTACCAACCTCCTGTATATATATAATCGAATCATATTTCCAATGATTATATCAATATATAAAATAAAAATCAACTTTGATATTTTCGATGATTCGAGGAAAAAGCGTAGAATTAAATTTTTTATATTAATTCAATATAAATAAATGTATATTTATAAATGCATAATGCATAAATAATATATCTACTTAAACGTCCTATAAATTATTTATGAATTGATAAAAAAAAAAACAAGCCGATCAATTTCTTCGAAAATATTTCAGCAAATTACATGAAATAAAAAAAAAAAATTCGCGTCTGGTTAAATATTTTACAATACTGTATTTCAAGTATTGGAAAAAAAATAAAAAAACAAATATTTTTGCAATCTTGCCCAACAGTACAACGAATATATTAAAACAAAATGAAATTTTGTGGATATTACAAACCCATCATCTCGTACTATTATCTCTGTTGTATTTTTTAATAATTTTACATAAAAAGAGGTATAGAAATAAATGCATAATTAAAAGAAAACATGAACGATCGACAGAGTTTTGAAAAAAAGAAGAAAAAAAAACCTTTAACGAATATTACTTCGTAGCCAAAAAGGAAATATCTCATCTGATATTTATCTTTTCTATTATTTTCGAATGAATTCTTAATCAATTACAAAGAAATAAGTGAAAAGTGCTAAATTTTTGTCATTCAATCATTTTTTCCGAGATAAGCAATAGCGCATCAACTCGGTCGGTAATAAACCACAAACACACATCACTGTATCCAAAATGTATATATATACATACATACATTGAGTTCATCTTTAATGAATATAGGTTGTTGTTGATGGATTAAAAAGTGTATTGAAGTGAAACGGTTTATCCCTTGCAATTCAAATTTCTTATCCTACCGTAAGAATATTGTCAAGAATTATTATATTTTTTAACGTTACTTCGCCAACAATAATTTATTCTAGTAAATAAGGAAAAAAAAGGAAGAATAGAATAGAATAGAAAAGAAAAGAAAAGGGGAAAAAAAAAAAGAGAAATATTTTATCCTATCGTATAGTCCGGAAATAAAAACGTCAAAATGGCATACTCCTAGTAGTAACTTGTATATTATACATGCATGTATAATGTGTATATATACATATGCACATATATATTACATTACAAGGACGTTTTCCTCGTGTGTCATACATAAAGACGTTTGAGCGCGCGCGCGTTAGCAAATGACGAATGAGCTAAGATACTATAAGCTTGTGACGCATGTCGTATTACAACACATTAAACTTCCTTCAAAAAAAAAAAATCATTAGATGAATCGTGAAGATTTATATTTTATGTTTATTAAAATTCACAAATAAGAAGTTGCATCTGCCATTGTTTTTTTATTTTTTTCATATTTTTCATTTTTTTATTATTATTATTATTATTTCGATCAGACGTTTAATTTCAATCGCACGATCAAACGGAATAAGTATTTATCAACATGGTCGATTAGTTCTAGTCAAACACGAAAAGATAAATCATTATTTTATTCCTTTAATTTTTTCCTTTATTTTCTTGTTCTTTTTTTTTTATACATGACGCAGGTTTCCCTTCCGTTTCACTTTTTTTTCCTTTTCTCTTTAGCTATTCTGTAGAATAAATGATTTCATTTTATATTTAAAACAAAACAAAACAAAACAAAAAATAGATGAATGAATGAAAGATTCAATCTAACCTAGCGAATTTGAAATTGTACGAAAATTGAATGGAGACTTTTCAGTAGTTTCCAAACAACATGCCCGACGATTTATCAAGTATCAGAAACTTAATTCCAGATTAAACTAGATAGTGGCTAACTACATTTCACTATTTTAATGGTATCATTTTCCAATCCGATTAAACGATCGTCGAAAAGGGATTAAAAAATAAAGAAAAATATATATGGACTCTTAATTGAGAATAATCAAATTAATAATTCATTTAAAAACGTGAACTAAAAAAAAAAAAAAAAANATTTCGAGCATGTGTTATTCAAATATTATTATAAAAAAAAAATATTTCTTAAATTTTATAGATTTGTGTGCAAAAAAAAAAAAAAAAAATATAACGTATTTTTGTCTACTATTTTTATGACATACATTTAATTCTTATAGTTACCATATTAATGATAAAAAATGTACAAAATTTTGATTATAGGATTAGAAGAAAATGTAGAAAATAGGATCAAACAGAAGGATATGATTCAGCAGCCGGTGTCCCTGGATTCTGTCGACCCATGCTGTCGACAGAATCCCAATCCCAGTTCTACATGTCGATATTGTGATACGAGAATGCGATTGGTCGTCTCGATACCACTTTTTATATTCAAACCAAATAAACGAGAGAGACACAGATGATTTTAATCAAATAAATAGTTAACAACACGATCATACAGTACGAATTATTTCTCATGAAAAAGTCATCAAATAAAAGATAATTTGACAAAAACTCGAGATACAATTCAGACTTTGTATAAAAAGATAATTCTATTTATTTAATCGAACATGACACTTTAATCCCTGATAAATAAAACAAGAAAATATAAAACATATGTTTAACTTGATAGGGAAAAAAAAAACAGAGAGAAAAAATAACCAATTGTTCAACTTACCATATAAAGTCCTTGCAATGGCTACAGAATGTCGGTTGTTTGAAAAAACGTGGCATAAAGCTATGATTCTTAACCATGTACACATTTTTCTTCTTTAATGCTCCCTTCCGGCCCCGTAATTTCTTGGCAAATGCAGTGGTGGTATCACCAGGACCGAGAGAATCCTCGCACGTGTTATTCGTATCTTGTTCCTCCGCCATGGCGATCGTCTTATCGCGAACTTGAGATGCGTTTGGACCGACGGGGGTCTTAAACAGACCCTCGCGGTTATCGTTAATTCCTCTTCCTCCTCCTCCTCCTCCTCCTCCTCCTCCTCTTCTTCTCTCCTCTGACACTACTCCTTCTAAACTTCCTTATCCTTCTTTTTCTAACAGATTAGAGTAGGTTCCTGTTGTATTTTCCTGGTTAATTGTGATTCACTTCTTATTCTTATTCTTCTTCTGTTACTCTGACAACTGAGAGTTGTTCAAAAGCAATAATCGGGTCGCAGCACCAGCACCAGCAGCAACAGCAGCACCAGCAGCACCAGCAGCACCAGCAGCAGCAGCCTTGGTATCGTTCGTACCAAGTTAAAGAGAGAGAGAGAAGAGAGAACGAGAGAGAGAGAGAGAAAAAGATAGATAGGTAGATAGATAAAGAGAACGTTAAGCGAGAGAACTCGCACGATGGGTGGTAGGTAGGCTACTCCGCGCGCGCGGTATAAGCCCGTGCCACGACGTAGACCTGCCTCGTATTCCCTCTCCCAACCTCACCAAACCCTCTTCAACCCACTCGTTCGTTCGTTCGTTCGTACGTTCGTACGTTCGTACGTTCGTTCGTTCGTTCGTTCGTTCGTATGTTCGTTCGTTCGTCTATCCAACCATCCGTTTGTCCATCAGCCTGTCCGTCGTTCGTAACGTTCAGTTAACTCACTATATTTTTTCTTCTTCTTCTACTACTACTACTTCTTTCTCTCTCTCCCTCTCTCCCACCTTTTATGCCAAACCAACAAACCTATCTTACTTCACGTAACACGTTTTTTTCTACCTACTCGTCCAACTGATGAGCTATCGTTCTGCTCCTACCTGCTTCCTACTCCTACTTCACTTTCTCCCTCCTACTACTCGACTCCTTTTGTATTTTAACTTTTCCTTCTCTTACTCTCTCGAACTACTCGGATAACTTGCACACCTTGAACCCTTTTTTCCTACTCCCACCTTCGAAAAATCTCTAACAGTAACTGTTTATCGTGGGGATGTTTTTTTCTTTTTTTTTTTTTAATTAATCCTACTCTCTTTTTCTTAATTCCGTATTCACGTTATAATATTTTTCTCTTTCTCTTTCACTACTCTCTTCTCTTTTTTATCTTTTTAATTTCTTTACTTCTTCGATTACCCTTCTTCTTTCTTTCTTTCTCTCTCTCTCTCTCTGCCTTTCTTTCTCTCTTTCTTTCTTTCTTCTTTCTCCGTTTCTTCTATCGTGGACCGGCCGATAATTTTAGATTCTCGGCGCAGTGACTCGAAGCTGCCACTGCTCAGCCTGTGCCGCGCACTCCCAATATCGACATCCAACTACCAAGAGAAACTTCAAGCTACGAAAAGCAACCATGAACGAGGTTCAACCTGACAGATGAACCTTACTTTAAAAGCAAGTGAACGTAATCTAATTTCTAACTGTTTTATCAATCAATTTTATTCCTATCTCCTTTTATCTTTCTTATTATTGTTCCCCTTATTTTTTTTTCTCTGATACTTTTGTCCTAAACCTTTCATTTCTCCCTTAATTCTTACCCTACTCTTATATCCTCCCTCCCCCACTCCAAAATATATCCTATATATGTATGTATATGTGTGTGTGTGTTAACGTCAAAGACCGAAATTGGAGAATGTCAAGATTCACATGGACGTTTGTCAACACATACCAAATATGTTGGTTAAAGACCGAATATATTAATATTTTGGACATATACCAAATGACCATGTAAATTTTGACATTCTCCAATTTTGATCTTTCACCATATATATATATATATGTATTGATAATTATAACAATGAATGAAATAAATAAAAAAAAAAGAATATTTAATAATTTATATTATCAGATAAATTATTGAATAAATGTTTGTCATCCTTTTAATTCAAATACACTGTTAATAATTACAGTAAAGAAATTGATTTAATTTTCTATAAGACAGATGGGGCTGTTCGTAAATCAATCGTTTAAAGTTCTTGTTTTTCTTTTAAAGGGAATATATAATAAATTTGTTCGAAATGAATTTATTAGAAAAAGTAATCGAAGAAATAAACAAAGAAAAGGATTCCTCCTCCTCCTCCTCCTCCTCCTCCTCCTATTCCTACTAACATCCCTTCCTTTTTCAGGTTGTTCGACCGGAAAGAATTATAGCTCAAGTTATGACGCTCGGGTCAATAATACCTACCTTAGGGCTATTTTTAATAACACGATCGTGCGCGGTGTTCTTACGCGCTTGTGCTTATGCCTGTCCATCGATTCTTTGCGCTTTAAGGATTCACGGAAACATGAAACCAATAAAGTCTAATCATTCGTGAAAGGTTTAATAGATTTTTATTATCTCTATGTTCATCTTGACGATCGACAAATAATTTCAATGTAAAATGAGATAATTATTATATATCAAAAATTCGTGAGAATACAATTTCAATAGTTGATATAAATGAATTTCTTTGTTTTGTTTTGTTTTGTTTTTTTGAAATTCGATCATTACAATGATTTGTATAATTTAGTGCATTGAACAAACAATTGAATATTTGTGCGACTGTCTGTTGAATATTACAATAAAGTATATCTATACAGTGTATGATGATAATATGGTGAATCATACAAATTTGTGATGATTATATAGTTTGTACTAGTAAGGATAGATGGCGTTTTTGTAATGGGTGTGTTTGTGTGTCGTCCAAGTTACATTGTATTCAATTCAAAGACGTTAAATACCCGCGTTCTTTTCTTTTAATTGTTGTCGTTGTATTTGAACAAAAGAAAAAGAAGGTTTCGAAATAATGTGGTATTTATTCAAGATCTCGTGTATTGTTTCAATCATCTTAGCTAATTCGATTAGTGAGTATTGAAAAATAATGTGTCAAAGTGGTATCCATTAATTCAACGATAAACATTGTTACAGGTCACGCCCTGGAATGTTATGTTTGCACTAATCAGGAAGATAATACTGACAAATGCTTAAAAAGTTTAAAAACATGCGAACAGGGAGAGGATGTTTGTTTAACAGAAATTAAATGGGGCAGTAAGTTTTTCATTATAGTTTGTCTAATTGTTTTATAGGTTATGTTATTATGACTCATATTCAATATTTTCTTTAATAGGTACACCGTACTGGTCGCAAGGTGCAAAAAAGCAATATTATATATCAAAAAGGTGTTCTTCCAAAGTAGAATGTGAAAGAGTACGACGCACTAACATGCCACTTTGTACACATATTTGGTATCAAGATTGGAAATGTTCAGAATGCTGTCACGGTGATAGGTGCAACTATTATATTATTGTAAGTATAAATTATATTATTTGTATTTATCTATTAAAATAATGTTATCTTATAATTAATTTGTGTTATCCTTATTCGATCAATTTAGTCTGATGCAAGCCAATTAAAAGCTACACTTGGAAGTATTATCTTGGTATCGCTTAGCGTTTTTCTACTCGTTAGATAAAATTTACAACCATAGTGAATATTAATTATCTTTTATTGAAAAAATTCATGTAATCTTACTCGACATCGAAGGAGATCAATCTATTATACTTTGGATGAAACACAACAGACATCATTTTAATGATGTCTCTTTTTTAAAATGAACAACGTATTATATTTAGTATCGTATAAAATGTATGACTATTATCAAATATTTACATTTGATTTAAGCCATACGAGTACTATGTACAAATAAGTTTCTATAGAAGAAACTCCGTCCATAATTTTAGACTGTTAATATGTTGATTACGTTAATATTAGTATTTTATATATATAAATATATATATATATGTATACATGTATAACTTTTATACATAACTTCAATGACAAAGAATTTTAATCGATCGTTATGACAACAAATATATTTATAACTTTTGCACATTAATGTATTTTACATAATGTTTGTGCTTGTAGTAGTATACATGTATATGAATTATTTTCATATAACAATGATACATATTCGTTTCATGAAATTATTAATTAATGACTATTGTTAGAAATATATTATTGATTAACTTTATAAAATTATATATTGACATGCATAAAATGATAGAAGCATGCGTACATATACGCACATTTCTTCGTATGTATTTATAATACATGTTTAATCCGTCCATTTTTGTATATTAATAAAAAGACATTTAATTACAAATATTTATTCGTTATTTTTTGTTTAATGTTAATAAAGTACGTACAGTACGAGTAATTTTTTTACCTTAGCTACTTCTACCAATACTTGTACTTCATATTATTATATTTTTTATAGTTAGCATTAAATAGTTGTAATTCTATAATCTTAAATTCTTTTTATAAGATAGTAATAAATTAATCAAAAAAAAAAAATATTTAATTTTTACGTTTTTTAAAAGTCCAGTCATTTTGACTGGTTTTTGTAGAAGTAACATCGTTTTTTTCTTTCGATAGTTCCAATGTTAATTCAGATAATCAACGCCCTATGTGTAATTGTACAATATCTTCCTGAATTTAATGATCATAAGATAATCTTATCTTCACACGAATAAACAATTATCTCCTATCATAAAAACTACTGTAACATGTAATCCTTTGTTTGTACATGTATCATCTCTATATTCCAAAGTGCAATATCAAAATTATAGTTGTATACTTTGTACAATAACAATGTCTCCGAAATATAATAAAGTTTATCATATGAATTATATATATATATATATATATAAGAGCAAAATATTGAAAATAAAAAAAAGAAAATAACATCTTTATCAATTTATCCTCTTTATGATCCAATCGTAAATCATACTCATCGCATTGGGGATAATCCAACGATATCTGTTGAGATAAGAGTGAAGAAAAAAAAATATTCATTATTATATTTATGGCAAAATAATTCTTATAACTGAGACAGTTCTCATTTAATTGTTACAGTTATTACAGTAACTGTCGTTGCTGTTGAACAATTGTTGTGTTTTAAAAGACGACAGAGCTAAAAACAAAAGCTCTTGTTCGAGTAAGTTTGTACAAATATATTTGTGTGTTTATTCAAACGTAAAGTATTTTGCGAATTACATTGAACAAAACAGAAAAGAAAAAAGAAAAAAAAACGAGAGTAAAAATTTAATTTAACGAAAACTCGTGCAAAACAACGAATTCGTAAAATTCGAAATTATTCAGTGTTTTTTAACATTCATGATATAATACAAATTCGTCGTAAATAGAAATCAGTGAAAATTGAATTTTAAATATCAAGGATGTTTTGATAGGTGTGTCAAAATTTTACACGTAGAGAATACAAAATTGAAATGAATGTTTCTTTAATTAATTTTTAAGTCAAAGGTAATTATCATAAATTAATCAACTAAATCGTTTAAAAATTATTTAAAATAATGATTATTTTACATGTGATCATATTATGGTGATTCAATCACATAACAAATTAATCAATAATATAAAATCATAAGTAATGAAGAGTTGTGAACAATTTTTATTTTATATAACTTAAACTCTGTTTTAAATAAATTTTGCAGTTTTATTGATATTCATTAAATAATTATTTAAAAAAAAAAAAAAAATTATAAACAATACAATAAGCAAATTTTTACTTTATACTGTTGTATAAGAAAGTATGGCAATTATATTTTGTTGCTGTAATAAAAGAACTGAAAATGTGACTGTAGTTTTGTAATTGATTTTTTTATTTTCTTATTTCTCTATTGTCCAGAATTAATTCATTAAAAATGATCGAAAATAAATAATATTTAAATGTCATAATTAATATTTAAGTATTATTACAATACTTCGATATAAATAATTGATAAATATTCGAATGATAATTGTGTTTGTCGTTAATTTAAAATCAACTCACATTCAATGTCAAAAATAACTTAGAATATTTTTTACATTATTAAACATTTCTTAAATTGAATTCAACATTATTGATAAAATTCTTATACAATATTAATAAAATACTTTCTTACAGAATTGGCATAATTAAATCATTTTAAAATATGCCGTAAAACTTATACATTCACGAATTAAAACATTTTCAACACTTTTATCTTCGATTGTACTTCCCAAACATCGTTAAGCAATATCTCAAGAGTCTAATATTTACAGGTATTAATTAGCGTCTATATTGAAATATGATAAAAATACAAAAAAAAAAAAAAAGAAAAATAACTCACAAATATTTTTTCGTATTCTTATTCGTATATAAAAGATACAGAATATACAATTGTATTCAAAAAAAAAACAAAAAAAAACAAAAATTTAAACTCGGGGATATACCAGTGATCGAATCATCTATTGTAGAAATATTTTGATCTTATCAGTAATACCACAATCATCGAAATGATAATCTAATGTTAATTTACAGTACCAAAGATAGTAAGAAAAAAGATCGTTTATAGATCGTAAGAATATAAAGATTATAAAATCAATTAAAAACAATTTTATTTAATGTCATATTTCAATAAAATTTGAGATTACTTTGTTATTATCAGTTCGATGAGAAATATTTTTATCAAATATTAGATAGTTTGAAGAAAACTTTGACACGTGCATGTTACAAATTTTGGTACTTACGTATTAACACCAATGCAGCAAAAATTCCGCTAATGCACCAATAAAGAGCAATCTTGTTGTTTGCACACAGCAACTGTCAGGGTTTCGTCAGGGTTTCCACCGAAATCCGATTGACTACTTTTTATAAATAAAATGTTTGGAATTTTCAAAGTGTTTTGATTTTAAAATAAATTTTTTTATTCTATAATTTGTCGCAACAATTTAAAGTGTAGATTGGCGCATTAGCGAAATTTTTGCTGCGATGGCGTTAAATACGTAAGTACCCCAATTTTTTTATTAATTTTTTTTTCATGATTTTTGGAGATCATCGTAAGTTCTTTTTTTCGCATGTAAACATATTATTATTAATATGTTATAATAATATATTATTTATATATTTTTATTTATTATAATAATTATAAACATATCATTGCATATAATATTTTTACACAAATCTATTTTTCTAGTCGTTCGTACATTTATGTGTAAAATACAAAACTTAAATATCATCATATTTATAGTAACGTTCAAATATTTTTATGATTAACTGTACACCAATCAATTAAAATTCTTTAAAAAATTAAAATGATTTTCTTTTTCTTCTTCTTCTTCTTCTTCTTCTTTAAAGAAGTAGATCATTTGATCTATTTGTACTAACATAAGATAAATAAAAAAAAACCGTAGATAAATAATTAGCTTTAATATTATGAACCTCCCATACATTATGGTATCGTGAAAAAAAAAACAAACAAACGCTCACGACTGAGAATGATTTGATATAAAGAGTTTACAGTTAATTCGACCAATTGAAAGATTTAAATAGTAACACGTGTTATATTACGGTACTTACCAAATTCGTATTGTAATTCTTCTAACAAGATGTGGTCATAACAAAATTTATACGTTAATATGCAAAACAAAAAACTCAAGGTGATCTCGAAATATCGTAAAAGTAAAACAATTGATCCAAAATTTTGTTACACGCGTATTTAAAGTTCTTTCGAAAGTATACAATATCCGATAAAAACATATAATGTATAAAATAAAATATTATATATTTAGTAATTTTCTTTTCTAAGAATCATGCATTATCAATAGCGCAATATATTTTTCTAATCATTTATACATTTATTTAAAAATACAATAAGATAAAAAATATCAAATCTGTATAAACGTTCAAATATTTTCGTAATCGATTGTATTTACCAGGCGATTAAAATTCGAAGAAAGTTATAATGTTGTTATTAAAATGATCTTATCTAGATAGATAAGAAGCAAATAGATAAATGATTAGCTTCAATATATTATATATATACATACATACATATATATCTCTTAGATACATTGTGTAGTAGTCTCGTGCAGGTGTAAATTTTTAATAAAACAAAAAAACAAAATAAAAAAAGAAAGAAACGATAGAAAGAGTAAAAGAAATAAAACATTTTTCTTCATAACTGTATAGGATTCGACGTAAAGAGTTTTATAGTTAGATAATATTTCGTTAGTGTAAGGCCTATGGTAGTTAATTTGACCAATTGAAAGATTTAAAAAGAAGTATCGGCAATAGGCTACGACGACGAAAGAGTTGCGCACAATTGTAACTGGCATAACTTCAATTAACGCTTCTCTCTTTAGTCTCGTGCCAGACGTGTACGATAGAAATTCAAACTGCAAATTTCGATCTTTTTTATCAATTCGAAGTGTTCGTTAAATTCAACAAGCAAAAATGGATTACATATCAACAAATGTTTTATTTGTAAGTTTATAAAATCGCATTTGTTTTTTTTTTTCAACAAACAAATAAACAAACCAAAAAAGAAAACACATACAAACAGACAAAACTACTCATTCGACATTCCAATGAATTTTTATCTATCGTAAAACAAAAAAACACATGATTGATTTTTCATACACGTATTATTTGTTTCAACTTTTAACAGTTACACGATATGAAATCATGGAATCTCCGTAGTCTGTATAAAGCTTTCATTCGAAAAAAACGAATAAATGTAAGTACAGACACAAAATTGGAAAGATGTCTATCAACGTTAGACTTAACAGCTTTGGGTATTGGATCAACTCTTGGTGTTGGGGTTTACGTTATGGCAGGATCAGTCTCGAAGGATATTGCAGGACCTGCTGTTGTAATCTCTTTCTTAATAGCTGCTGTAGCATCGATATTTGCTGGTAATTTAACAATTCATATATTTTTATGTTACGTTTGTTTATATTTATAATAAAACAAAAAAACAACAAATATCTAATATATTTTCAGGTCTTTGCTATGCCGAATTTGGAGCAAGAGTACCACGTGCTGGTTCGGCTTATGTTTATAGTTACGTGACAATGGGTGAATTTGTTGCCTTTCTAATTGGTTGGACACTGATATTAGAATATGTGATAGGTTCTGCTAGCGTAGTACGTGGACTTAGCACTTATGTCGATGCACTATTCAATAATAGTATGAGAAATGCATTTGAATCGGCAGCTCCTATAGAAGTTGAACATTTTTCTTCTTATCCAGATTTTTTCGCATTCGGTATCACCCTTATGTTTTCTGGTAATTCATTATTTTCTATAACCATTATACGATTGATACCAGTGGCGGATTAAGCGGTAATGGGATTAAGCAGTTAAGTAGGGCTTTAGGAACACTAAATGTTCTGAAAAATCCTCAAGGTCTTCAAATAACTTTTTATTAAGGTTCGGCAAAAATTAGATTTGTTTATTTATAGTGTTATTGTTTGTGTGATTTAACCACACGCAATTATTGTTACATGAATACTGATTATTGATATCAAAACATACAGTACGATTATCTCCTCATTGGTTAATCACTTGTTGCTGCTATCAAAGTTAATTGATTCTACTCAATTTTCTCCAACTTGACAATGAATTTTAAGGTACCCGTAATTTTGATCTCTTAGGGCCTTCATTTAACTTGATCCACCACTGGTCAATACAAGTTTTATATAAGTATGTATATATTTATACTGTACATTGTTATTTTTCACAGCTGCCTTGGCATTTGGCGCCAAAGAGTCCTCAACTGCAAATAACTTTTTCACCTTAGTGAATCTCTCCGTTGTTCTCTTCGTAATCATTGCTGGTTCTCTTAAAGGTAATCGTATGAAATTATAAATAATTTATAATTATATGTTAAGGACAATGTCAATAATGAACAGATATTTCATAGATTACCCGGTGGTCATTCTATAAAATACATGTCAATGTATAAAATATGCTTCAGTTGACTGTATTTAGAGTACGATGGAAAGTGAGATTAGGGAAAAAAATCTGAGGGAAACTATTGTAAATGAAAAAAACCATAGAAATTAAAAAAAAACTTTTCCCCCGTGCTCTAATTAGAGCCAATTAAAACACGTTTTATAGAATGACCGGACAATTTATAAAATATCTACTCATAACGATTACATATAGACCTTAACAATTACATCTATTATTATTTTCATTTGTATCGTGTTCAAAGCTGATGTAAATAATTGGAAAACTCGACCACCTTGTACTGAATCAAGTTGCAAACATGGAACAGGAGGATTCGCGCCATATGGGATATCAGGTATAATTACAGGCGCGGCAACATGTTTCTATGGGTTCATTGGTTTTGATTGTGTTGCAACTACGGGCGAAGAGGCTAAAGATCCACAAAGATCGATACCAATAGCTATTGTTGCATCTTTAACCGTTGTATTTCTCGCGTATTTCGGAGTCTCAGCTGTACTCACTATGGTTTTACCATATTATGAACAAAATCCCGATGCACCCTTTCCCCATTTATTTGAAGTCATTGGATGGGACTGGGCTAAATGGATAGTCAGCATTGGAGCAATTTGTGGATTATGTGCAAGGTAAAAATGTTTTACGTTGTTACATTTGAGCCGAAATTTTCATCACGAGTTAAAACTCTGTCAATATACCACAAAATACTCTTCTCAAACGTATATACAAATCTATATTTTAATTGCAGTTTGTTAGGTGCAATGTTTCCATTGCCAAGAATAATTTACGCAATGGCATCGGATGGATTGATATTCAAATGGATGGGTAAAGTAAGTTCAAGATTTCATACACCCATTATGGGTACTTTTTCAGCAGGTATTCTTACAGGTACGAAAATAATTTGGTTATTTTGTTTCCTTTTGTTCTTATCGTTTTTTTTTTTAAACTATATAAACATAATTTTTTGTTGTCTTAGGAGTTTTAGCAGCAATATTCGAACTTACTCAATTGTTAAATATGATGAGTATAGGAACACTTCTTGCTTATTCAATAGTTGCCGCTTGTGTTCTTATATTACGGTAAGAAAATATAAATATTTATTTAAAAATTCATTTGTGTGTTAACAGATTCAAAAATACATTTGCGTGTTAACAGATATGAAGAAAGTGAGGCATATGAGAAAAAAGGTGATCGTGATCCAAGAACTGTGAAGTTTATCGTTAAACAGCTAATTAATGCTAATAGATTAGATCATTCTACAAAATTAACTGGACAATTGGTCACTTCTCTAGTTTTCTGTTATTGTAATATTTGATTCACATCAATGTGAGTATAATTTTCTTAACTGATAATAGTGTAACAATATAATTTTGATTACAGTTATACTTTGCATTTGTATTACTGCAATGATATCAAAATGTTCACAAGAAATCATCACTGGCAAACCACTTTACGTTGTACCAATAGTCATATTAATAGTTGCATTAATATCAACACTCATTTTTATTTATCTACAACCACCGTCAGACAAAAAACTTGCCTTTTCGGTAGGTTATAAACATTTTTACATCAAATTTGTCTTGAAATTGTATTATTAAAACAATTCAACGATATTTGAATGATTTATTTTGTAGGTACCACTTGTACCATTTTTACCAGCGATCAGTATACTTATTAATATTTATCTTATGATGATGTTAGATATAATGACGTGGTTACGATTTTTAATATGGATGACCATTGGTAAGTACAGTGACTCTCTCTCTCTCTCTCTCTCTCTCTATTAAATTATAAATTTAAATATACATACTACCGATCAAATTGATCAAAAAAATATTGAAAATATTATACTTTGTGTAAAAATGATGAATGAATTATTCAGATTGAACGTAATTATGAATTTACGTGAACAATTGTTTTTCAATATAAATACTAAAAAAAAATAATTGAATGCTGCACTATTTTAAACAAACTTTTTATTATTTTATAAGATGGTTCAATAATTTGAACTGTTAGTTTATATAATGATCTTTTTATACAGGTCTTTCTATATACTTTTTGTATGGAATGTGGAACAGTAGCAATAGAGATAGAAAATCCAAACAAGAGAATAATAATATTAATGAAATAGAACGAAAAAATAGTCACTTTAATCGAATTACGTGATTTTATTAGTTAATATAATACTTTTTGACGATTTTTTTTTTTTTTATATATATATATATATATTATACGATGCTTGTAAAAGTTTGCTATATATTGTTGAATATATATTTATTTAATTAGCAGTTCAAATAAATTATACATATATTTATTATCATCAAAAAAAAATATTTACCGTCACTTTTCACAACTTCTTGTCATCTTTCGAATAATTTTAGAAATTCTGTTATTAAAAAAACAATACATCTTTTGAAATAACAAAATTGTTGACACATTTTTGAACTTGTTCGTTATTTAATAAATCGTCTACTGTATATATATATATATATATATATATATATATATATATATATATATATACGTTGTTACATTAATTTAAATAAATGAAAAATGAAAAGGAATCTAAAATTATTGTAAATACACATTGATCAATTGACGAGAAATTTAATAAAAATATAAATGAAGGCTATGTCAACAACTTTTGGAATATGAAATTCATTTTCACACATATTTTCAATACCCTTTCAATATTTCGTACAGATTTAATTAACAATTTTTTGCAATTCTTTACTCTCGAATTTGTTCACTTTTCCCAATTACTATTTGTCCATTATTGTCTCAATTTTGTTATTTCTAAATCTCTTAAACCTTTATATTGTGATAATCATTAAAGGATACAACTTATTTTATACAATTTACAGATAATCCGTATTGTTTCAACAATCGCCTTTTTCCTTTCTTTTTTTTTTTCTTAGAAAAAAATGTATAAAGTGGCTTATACAGCTGAATACATTTTATCATTTGTTTCATTTCGATAAAAAAAATATGATTATCTTGTACTTAAGATATCTTAGATAAATTTTTCAATCATCAGTAAAATCCTATTTACAATTAGTTTCATACAATTTGATAAAATTAAAAAAAAAAAAATAAAAAATTATCTCAATGCAATCATATTTAATCAGACGAACTTTTGCAAGCATCTAATAGATGAATATATATATATAGAATGATACAAAGAAAGGGTATACAATATTTTATGAGCTTATAGTACTTATCAAAATGAGTAAAAAAAAATGCCTAATTAACTCATTTCGGTGAATACTACAAATCCTTCAAATATCGAACCTTTTTTTCTATTACTCTGTATATATACATATATCTACTTATTATTTTAAATTTGTACAATTGTTAAAAAAAAAAAAATAAATATAATTAGAAACAATTATTTGGTTAATCCCACTTATTCCCAACAGAGTAACTTTTCTTATAGAAACTTATAGAAACTGCAATTAATGAAACTATTCTATTGCAAAAAAAGAACAACAAATCCCTGGAAATCGACCAAACAATTTCAAAGCTAATTCTTTTTTACACACAATAACCTCATTTGTTTAAACATATGAATTGGGAATTAAACATTTGAATATGGGCATACAACTTAAGTATCATTTCTATTTTCTTATGTTGCAATTGGAAAACAGAGAATGGAGGGTAAAGGAAAACGAATAAACTAAATTACACGATTATTAATTAATTAATTTACGTTAGAAAATGTAATGATGAATTTAATAATACGTCTATTTCGAAAAACAATAAATAAACGCAAGGATATAATTAGGTAACTTGTAATCATTCAATATGCTACTTTTGGCACATGCGCCACACGTTGGCCACTCCTGGACCACATGAATTGATCCACACCTTTTCGAAAGACCTACCGAAAGAGTGAAAATAGTCTATCATTATTCCAGTGTTTAAAATGAAAGATAAGACAATGTACGGAAACTATAGAACAACCATAACTCAATCTGCTACTCGTGGTTCGCATATTACCTGGTAAGCCCTTAAATGTGGAACTACATGTCTAGTCATGTTTTGATTTGTTTATATTTTATTAATCAGACTAATATACAATCCCATCAATGTAGGAATACGAATGTCAAGAGTATAAAAATATCTATGTGAGTATGGGTGTGTGTGTGTGTTTGTGAGGAACAATCAATCGAGAGTTTGACAAGAATATGAAAGGTTCTCGTTTAGTTGCTACATGTTTGTATGTATATGTGTGAAGGATGAATGGAAATTAACAAAATAGACGTGAGTTGACTAATTTAAAGAATCAAAGAGTAGCATGTTCAAACAGAAGGCGTTTCTTTTTTAACCCTCTGACTATCAAATGCGACGAACAGTGATCTCAAATCACGAAAATGTGATCCTAATAGTCCAAAAATCTAGTTTTTCGGTATGGGGGAAAAATAATAAAATATTACCAAATCATATATTACCAATAATGATATAATATTTAAAAAACATTTTACATCATACAACTACAAACAAATGAGATAAATCCAAAGAAAAAGTAATAATAATAATAATAATAATAATAATAATAATAATAATAATAATAATAATCTATTCTTTTTATAATATATAAATAAATATAGCTCAATTCGATCAATAATTATGATGAAGAGAAAATATAAATTAAATACAAACAAATTTGGAAAAAACGAACGTAATTCTAATGATAATTTGCAGATTATTCTAAATTTAATCATTATTACTGTATAAAAAATAAATACTAATCATTACATCTGTATAAAAAGAACAAAGAAATATCCTAAATAATGAATTCAATACTATTGAGTAACAAAATTTCATATTGTCATACAATAAATGATCTGAAAATGTATGCAACTTGATTAATTTGTTTTGTGATTTATGGTGTTGATGAATCATAATGTCAAATGAATGGTTCATTTGTGAGTTTATATGAAAAATATGTCTTAAACTAAAATGATTCATCGTCTGACAAAATATCATCTTCTCTAGGAACATTTTTATGATAACTGTACCTCAAATTTATTTTCTTAGTAGATGATTGTTGTTTATTATTGTTAGTATGTTTATCTGAACGCAATACTTGTTTATTGTTTTTGTTCACTTTATGCTGATGATTATTTAATTGTAAATCGCATTTATTTAAACGTATTTCAGCTTTTTTAATCACTTGTGGTAACTGTAAGGAAATAATGTCACGCATTTAGAATAGACAAAATAAAATAGATCAAATTTTCAATTTTCTTATGAAGGGTTTATAATACTTATTGAAACGAATAAAACATGATATTAATTAACATGGATCTAAAATTAACCCTTTTGTTGTAATTTAACTATTATTATTTATAAGCGTTTGATATCATAAGGAAGTCTCTTGGTAACAAATTGAATCTATACAGAGGAATTTGCTTAAAAATACATTAATTCAAGGAATATTTGAAAGTATATGTCAATTTATAATCCATAGATGTTAGAATTGCATTGCGAATGGAATGAAAATGTATCAAATATTAATAATTAATACACACACACACACGCAATGTTTGCATTAACAAAGTAACCATTATTAATTATTAATTTATTTTGACAACCTATAACTAAAATATTTTTCAGCAAATTCCAAATATTCATTCAATATGTTGTCACGAGATTTGCTTACGATATAAATAATACAATTTTATTTGCACCGAAAGGGTTGATTTTAGAATCCTATTAATTAGACATTTTTTTATTACTCTTTTAATAAGTATTATAAGACTTTAAAATAACTGACCCTTTTTAATCCCTGTATAATTATTCAAACATTATTTATATACCTTGAAATTTTCATCTTTAGATGTATCGCTTGCTTCTTTCTGTTTTGAAATTTGGAAAGATTCATGATCGCTAAGTGATTCATACATTTTTTCTTGTTTATCCTTGAAAATATGCAAATTATTAAATATGCAACTGTTAAAAAGTATATAACCGATACACAGTAAAAAATATTTCATAGTAAAAACTATTATTTGTATGATGTATGTTTAAATTTTTATAAATTTAATTATAAATTATCTTACCATCATTTCAGGTGAAGTATTAGCATCTTTAGAACACTTTGGGGTGTTGCTTTCTGTGTAGACTGCTTCTTTTTGTTTAGAAACGACACGTTCTCCTATTAAAGATACAATATAATTTAATTTATTAAATAAACAATATATTATATAAATATTATTAAAATAGCAGTCAAAAGATCTAGTTACGTTGAATTATTAGTTCTCGTCAAAAAATGTGCGATGAACAGCATACAATTAGCTATGACACGCACCGTTGACTAACAATAAGTGTTAAAATAAAATCATAATAAAATACTTGTTTACCAGTCCAATAATTTAATGGTGGGTATATCTTGCGTCCTCTTGAACTTGTAGCAACATTCAATGTATTTGTAATTTTATTTTCTTGTCTAGTTACTATTTTATTTTTATCACCTAAGTAAATCACAAAAGACCAGAGTAAAATCATTTATTTATGTGTTAGTAGTAACAAATTATTCGAATACCTTCTATATACGATTTCCACATTTTGCAAAATTTATTTATATTCAATGGACATCCATGAAGACAATACCTCACTAATTTTTTGGGTACAACTAAACATAATATAAATTTGTAACATTATATGTAAAAGTGTAACGTACGATATACATAACTTTAAATGCCTTTAATATTACCGTCTTTAGAATTATGCAAATCTCCAATAAGTAGATAAATATCTTGATTTATATCTTGAATTAAAGTTGAGGATAATCGTTCATGAATAGGATGAGTTTTGAACTTTCTATTAATTACATGGCCAGCATCGCTACATAAATGAAAATAATATAAGTCATGTATCCATTAATAAGATGAAATGTTTCAAAATTCTTACATACTTGAGTAATTGTCCTTCAAAAATCAAGCTGTACCCATCAGTTAAAGAACCATCAAATATAACTTGTGGCCTCCAATCAGATAATAATTTAGGTTTTCTTAATTCCAATAAAGATAGATCCTTATTAAATTCAGTTTGAATATCATTACCATTTGAAATTGGTAAGCTCTCATTATTATTATTATTATATGTACTTTCATAAATTTCATCATCACTTCTAATATCTTCGTCGGATATTAATTGATGATCATTTTCATTAATATCACTTGTATTATTTAAAACAGGTTTAAACTCTAATTTATCATTGGCTACAT